TCGTGAAATGAAATTGACATTTGATGTTATTCTTTTTGCTGCTATATTATTTGATTAGTCATTCATTTTTTGAGTTGTCTTTCTTTTGAAGTAAGGGAGCAATACGAAAAAAAAAAAAAACAGATAATTTCGCGAAAAAAAAATACTATTAATACAACAATGTCACGCAAAATTGCAATGCGCAATCCATTGCGTGATAGTAAGTAGATATTTCATGCACTCGATACTTCATGTTCACCGTTGTTCAACATCTTGGCGCGGGTAACACGTTGAATATCAGCGTAGAAAGAATTCGGCCAAGCGTAAACGCGATGCTGACGTTCCACTGGATTCATTCCAAGAGGAAGAAAGGCAGAGGTAGCAAAAGGTGGCGAGAGGTGATGGAGAGAGGGAGCTGAAACTATCCTTATATATCCTAGCCTCCACAAGGCTCCTATCGATCGGATTGACGCCGGTTTTCCCCGAGATTCTATCCAAACGGAAGGAAATCTGCAGATTTTCGCCGAGCACTGCCTCTCCTTTAAAACGTCGCGTTCTCGAATTCAACCATCCGTACCATGATGTCATCGCGATTTACAATTTCGGTTGAATTTAATACGTTCGTACCGCGTCACAAAATTTCTTTGTTTACGCGCTTTCGAATTTAAGTAAGTAGCAACGTTAGACGATGTCCCGCATTTACGGCACGTTTGGATGTTTTTCGCAGGTCCGATGATGAGGCCGCAAATGGCGCAACAGCAGCAGCAGCAGGCGTTACACGCGGCCGGCGGTAATATGTACATGGGCGGCGGCGGGATGGCTGCCATCGGCAATATGCATCAGATGCATCAACGGCTAGGCTACCCGAGAACCAACAATCAACGGCCGCCCAACGTCAGCGTTGGACCTCCGGACGGCCTTGGAAACAGCATCGCAGGTCGCGGCGCCCAGCAGGAGCAATGGCGACACGCGGTTTTAATGCAACAACAGCAGGGCTTTCAGGCGCAAATGCGCTCGCAATTCAACCAGCAAAGTCACCAAGGTGTGAGAGAAAGAGAGAAAGAAAGAAAAAGAAGGAGATACGATGTGCTTTCCAGCAAGAAACGTAATGTAATACAGTGATCGTTTCATCTTGGTTTAACTGGCAAATGGCATGTAATGATTCATTACGTTGTATTGTATCTATCTCTTGCTGAAAAGCATCCAAATATACTGTCGTATTCATCGGAGGAATCGTGAGTCAGTTGTTGATGTCAGATTTATCTTATTTCGCGTTAATTTGAAGTTTGCTCTCTCGAACTCGATATCCTCGTTTTCGTCGGAGATCATGAATGTGCATGTCGCTGCGTTTTGTTTGGATATAAACGCATAAATGCAAATCGTATTCATAGAGAATCAAGCACGTCTCGCGAGCCTTACTTATTATTCGTGAAAATTATTTGAATTGATTTATTGCGGGCTTTTATTAAATCACATTTTTTGCAGGTGCTTTCGGCATGGGTGGCGCGGGCAACACGATGCAAATGACTGCGGCGCAGATGCAACATCAACAGTTAATTCGTTCACAAAACGGAGGCATAGCTGGTTCGGGGATGTCCAACAGCACGCAGATGCAACAGCTGTTGACGCAACAGCACCAACAACAAACGCTAGCTATGCAGCAGAATAACAATCAGATGTCGTTGCAGATGCAGATGTCACAGACAGCGTCTGTAAATTCAGTCAACGTTACTGGGACCGGTGAGTAGTGATCCGCGAAAATAAAAATGTTCTGACACGCTCGAGCGTAACTCACTTATTAGCCATACAAATTAAATAGAATTTCCCATGGATTTTCCAATTACCTGAGTAGTCTATATATAAAAGCAGCTGTATCCAAAAATATAAAAAAATTTATATTGAGAAATTCCAAAAGAAGTTAAATTATTCCTACTGTTGTAAGGAGCAAAAGAAGTTAAATCGCCAAATTTCTACTGCTGCAAACGCAGTTATATTCATCAGTCATATTTAGTAAAAATGAACGTTTTGTTCCAAAATCAGTTAAAATCCTTCCTCTAGCCGCAAAATTAAGTCAAGTACATTCTATTTTAATGAATTATATTTCTCATGCCACGTTATACAAGTTTTGTTAATCGAAATAATGTATTTTTCTTATGCCCGATTGCATTAATTATTATTTTAATTTTAAGCGAGGCTTAAAATTCTCTTTTTCTCTCTTTTTTATTTTAAAGCCGAGAGAAACAGAAAAGGAGAGAGTTTTAAGTCTCGTTAAAGTTAAAGTGACGTTGGAGCAATATCGGGCTTTAATTAAAAAATTTTTGATAATGTGTTTGAATGAAAAAAAATTATTCAATAAGTTTTTTCGTTCTCGTAAAAAACTTATTGAATAACAAGTGAAGAAGACAATTAAATTTTTACCAATGGGACTTACCTACTCACGAATATTTGTAGCAACGTTCAACACATTTAATTAGACTTGATGAATTGTATGTTTAGGTTCTCCTCTGCATCCACATCAACAGTATGGCGGAGGTAGCCCTGGAGTACGTAGTCTACCGCCACCGCAGCAGCACACTCAGCCACCACCACCGGCTACCACTACGGATCCATCCGTTACGGCTCCTGACTTCACTCTTGAATTCTTGGAGAACCTTCCCACAGGAGACACGTCGAACTTTAGCGCCCAAGAGCTGCTTAATTCTCTCGACTCTACAGCCGGTTTTAATCTCGATATTCTGTAATGGAAATGAAATATACAGGTCGGTTTAGATGTCGGTGCCTGGCAATATGCCGATTTTACTACGATGTCAAGCGAATGAGATCGATCCCTTAAAGTGTATACTTAGCGCAATGATACCGACGAATTTCACTTCGTCCGCGTATTGATCTGCTTTCTTCCCATCGTGTTTTCCCTCATTGTATCAAACGAATCGATTTTCTCGTCAGTGCATTTTTGGAAGAGAACATCGACCCGAATGTCCCTTTTCGAATCTTCGTAATTTTTAATTACAAAAAAAAAAAGGATTGTTTATAAAAACGGAACGTTTGATTCAAGTCAATCTTATCAGAGTTCTAAAAGGTACGATTGATGGAAATAATAATATTATTATGGCTGACTCTTTTTTGAGCTCGATGTTGAGAAAACGGGGATGCAGATTGATGATATGCAGGTATATATATATACTTTGTTATGTTCAATGACTGACAAATGATTCAATGATTGCGAATGATGACAGTTACCCACCGGTGCGACAGTCCCATAATCGGTCGTAGTGCATTCTCGGTCACCGCTTCCGCGGCTGCCGAGACTATTCTTTTAGGCAATCACATTTTAGTAAAATTTAATTTTGTAATAACCGTCGAAGGGCGAGAGAGTTTAGCCCTGGAGATGTGGTAGCGTGGGATATCAAGAGGCACGTGGAAATCGTTCTATCGTTTTCTCGTTGGGCAACGATATCCACTTTTGAGGAAAAACGAAACAAAGCCAGGAGGTTGCGGTTCCTATTTTCTTTTTCAAGTTCGCCCACGCTTGGCTATATCGAGAACGATCGATAAATTTCCGAGTGCTCGCGTCGACGACTTCGACAACTGCGATGACTTCGACGAGCATTCCGCAAGACGATTCTCCTCTCTCTTGATTTTTCACGTTGAAAATTCACGCAAGTAGATAGAGATATTGATATTGATAAGGAGGCCACGATTAGAGTTTATTCGACTGAACCTATTCGGCCGCAAAAATTGGTTACCTTGCGCCGACTCGTCGTTGCAAAACGTCCAAGATTTCTGGACAGGCGAGCCTGGCCGGGCGTTAATACTTTATAAGAATAATAATGTAACAATGTAACGATTATATTATATCATTATATCACAATAGCGTAATAATATATATCGTTATATTATTACATTATTATGAAAATAATAATGTAGTAACGTAACGATTAGAAAGTAGCGTATTTAATTATGCCATTAACGGCATACTTACAATTAACAGCAAGTCAATTATCAAACATTCAATTTTATGAGTTTGTGACGCGCGATGCAAAATCGCGCGCTGATACGATCGGTCCGTACATTGGAAATTTTTACAGTAAGAAGGATTAAAAAAAACTTCTTCCTAAACTGCATTGTTAGCACTAATACAAGATTAAAAAATGGTTCTTCATTGTAAATAGATATTAAATCTAGAAGAAATTCAAAGCGTTAAGTCCGCACAGTTTAACTGAGTATATAAGAATAAGGAATTTAAAATATATATAGATAAATATTATGAGATAAATATTAATGAGATAATAATGATTAATACGTCGATAATATGCAGGTGGAAATGCGTGCATGAAAGAAATTATGCGCGACTGAGAGGGAGTGTAGTAAAAGACGTGAAAATGAATGTATCAGCGACAGGGCACATTTGTTAATTGGTAAATATATTTATTAAGTTTTAATACCGAATGTGCTATGTCGCGCTATGTCGAAGCCGCACATAAATAATCACGGTGAGGTAGATTCCATTTTCGACGCGGCGAACTACTTGTATTTTCTAAAGAGGCAATCGTTTCTCGGGAATTTGCGCGGAGTGTATCGTCGAAATATTCACCGTTTTTTTCTTTTTCTTATTTTATCAAACGGTAACGTCTTGTGCTTTATTTTGAAGATTTTTAAGAACATGAAAATAACGAACAAAATCCTAAAGTTTGCGCTTTGTGTCATTCTCGTACATGTGGAAAACTGTTAATGTATGATAAGGTCACTATGTAGTTCGATGCTACAAGAGAGGGAGAGAAGGAAAGAAAGAAAGAGAGAAAAGGAATCTGCGATTATTCTTCCAAGTAGCGATACATTCCATAGATAACAAAAAAGGAATAGCGATCTGTGGTTCGTCTAATCAAAAGTACTGTTAAAAAAAAAAAAACAAATACACGACAGAAAGAAATATTAATGTTATAATATAAGAGTAAAACAGATATATTGAATCCCGCGCTTATATATACATACGCAGGAAGCACATCCTCGACCGTTCGCCGAAAGTGTGCACGAAGACTTCCGATCGGATTTTATTATCGCTTGTCGCGACTCCGCTAGAAACTAGCAGGTCCCGCGCCACACAAGTGGATTAGAAGATAATAATAATAATCATCATTTTTTAAATTTCAATCGGGTGGGGTAACACTATCTTGTAAAATATTGGGGCCATAAAACATAATCTAAAAAAAAGATGGGAAAGGAAGAGAAGACGAAGATTAGAGGCTGATTCTCACGTCAATACCTTTGTAAAATCTTTGAGAAAATCTCGATAAAAATCAATTACATTGATTTTTCCATTTTGTATGTTTCACGCGAGTGAGAGGAGAAGAAGGGAGGGAAGAGAGAACTGCGAGGAAGCGAAACTGTGCATTGTTATAGGGAAGAGCATCAGGGACCAACTGAGAGAAAGAGAGAAAGAGAGAGAGAGAGAAAAAAAAAGTGCGTGATGTCGATTGTCACAGTGGATCGTCGTCTCTTTTTTTTTCGATTGCAGAGGAAGCAGAGCCTAATAAAAAAAAATTTGAGCCATTTGTTACCGACCTGTTAGAAAAAACTAGCTACACAATGTCAGCATTATACGCTCGAGATTTTTGCACAAAAGAGAACCACGTACACATACGTGCAAACAGACAGGTGTATCACGACGCTTGCATCATTGAAAAGTTAACTTTTCGCACTGTCGATAGTTGATCGTGAAAAAGACATGACATAATCGAGATGAAGGTTGCGACGTGTTAAATTTCTTGAGGGTGGCCTTGATTGGGGACGTATATATACATATATCGTATATTATTTATAAATATTTATAAAAGAAACATTATATAATACGGGCATTTCGTATATAGAATAAATTCCATGTTGAATTGTTATTAATAAAAGCGTTGAGTTCCTACAAGATATATATTATCTCTTCACTTAAAACTTTCGAACTTTTCCAAAATCTCTCCGTCTCGTCGGTATAACGCGTTGCTGACGCGTTATCGGAAATTCGTCATCAGCCGCACGAGATAAATTCGATCCGTTTCGCCACGCGGAAAATCCCAGGGACGATAAACCATCGGCGGCTTATCGCGTGTCGTATCGATCCGTCCGAAAATTAATGTGCGTTATCCGGCACGTTATCCTGCCGCCAATAACGCGAGCGTTTCGCGATCGGCGTACAACGCGAGACACCCCGCTTTATTTATCTCTTTCCCGACATATCGCGTTACTATCTCTCCGCAAGAATCTCCGATCTACCTGAAATCGAGATTTACCAACCATATGTCTCCCTTTAAAAAAAAAAGCTACTGTAAAGTGGGACTAACTCTTGCCTGAAATCAAAGTAACTTCGATTCAAATTTCGATAATGTCCAAACCAATACACATCGTCAAAATCGGGAAATAAGACATCTTAAAGATAACCTGATGTCTTGCGATCTGATTTTGGACGTGCTGTTTAGAGATTTTTTTTTTTTTTTTTAATTTAGGCCAAAATTATCCCGACTGAATCAGAGTTATTTAATATTACTTTATATTTCAGAAATTTATTTCATTTTTTTATTTTCCAACGACATGAAAATCCTCGGGCAAAACGGAGGTTTTGGTCGTCTCCACGCGCCTTTATACGCGTTACGGTTCTACACTAGGTCGAATGGCAGCCTAACGTTGCTGCTCGTGGGTGGGCCTCGCGGCAGGAGGATCAATATCATCGTGAGGGAGAGAAAACGAGCAGACTGAGAATGGGAGCAAGAGGGTAGGAGCCGCCGGCGCCGCCGCGGCGATGAAGGATAAGGATTACAAGGGCGGCGGCGACAGCTTCGGTAGAGAGGGATATAGCCAGGGGATGGTATCGCGTATCCCGAAAATGTCAATTCGCCATTCCGGCTTCTCACGGAATTAGGATCGCGATAAGGATTGGTTCGCGCGTCGGCTCTGTTCGATTTTACGCTCCTCAAACTGTATTTTCGTCATCGTCGTCGCTGCTCCGAGACGAATTTCTTTGGCTGCGTCAGCACGAAAAACGGCTTTGGAAATTTGTCGGGTACCGCAGAAAAAAGATTCGCTAAACTTCAATATTTTTTACAATAGTATTAATTAAAATTTACTTAATAAATAAATATTTACTTAACGAAAGAAGTGATAGTTAAGTCGAATTAATGATTCTCGTACCAAATATATATATATATATATATATATATATATATATATATATGTGTGTTTACATTTAATAAATATTTAGTTAGTACTATGCGAACAAACATTAGAATTTAAACTTATATATTTAAATTGAGCGAGTAATTAAGAACTAATCATATTTACAACAATTGCAAAGCTGTTTTTTCTCTTACATATTATGGAATTATTCGGAATGGAATTCGAATTATTTATTTCCTAGATTTCTATTGTTTTCTAGAAAAAACGGAATAATTGTGATCGGGATTCATTTCGAACAAGTTTACACGAGTAATATATACCCGGAACGGAGCCAATAATTGTCACCTGTTCGCATTTCTTTGATCTCATCCTGTTAATTGCGTTACACCTCGAGAAAACCTACCCCAGTTAAATAAATGTCGGCGCACATCCGAAGCGCGTCCGAAGATAGTTTCTTGGGAAATGTTCCCCGGAAGTTAGCGATTAATCGTTTAGGAATATGCGGCCATCGTTCGTTAATTCATTCGTTCATTCGAATTAACTGCGGGCGTTTTGCACGAGCTACGCTTTCATCGATCCAAAGTGAAGCGCAAGCAGAGCAACGATCCACTGGTCGACGTCACACTCGTACGTTTCCTTGCGATTCGCAATTCTCGTCTTGATGACGGGCTCGAGCTCATGCAAATCCTATTGTGAAACGCGATATCAATTATCATTGACCTTTCATAACGTAATGGGACACGCGATACGAACGAGGGATGATATTGCGGAACCCTCATTCGTAATAATAAACGTTCAAACAAATGCGTTAAACATGCGTTTTCATAACTCACGATCGAAGTTTAATACAGGCGGATTATTCGGCATTTGCCCTCGTCGGAAAGCCTTGCCTTCCCTCGCAGTCTCCTTTTCTTTTTCTCGCGGGAAACGGCGACGAAGGTAACTTGAAAATGAGGAAAGATTGTCGTACACCGAGACCAGTTCCATTAATGTAAGATTAACCGTAATCTCGATTTGACTTACTGTACATCTTTTTCTAATGCTCAGAATTAGACTAATTGTAAGATAAAGAGTAAATTGAACCGAGATTAAAGTTAATTCTACATTGGTGGAACTGAGCCTAAGACAGTCAGCCGAAAATTTAGATATCAATTAACCACCGCGAGGGACATTTAGTGGGATCAGTATTTCTACGCGAAAATGGTTTTGATATACATATATATATAAAACAAAAACGAAGGAGAAAAGTGAGTTTAGACGATTATCGATGAAGAGACCACGGCGATGACGCGGCGGTTTCTTTTCCTTCGTCACTGTAAATACGTAGACGCAGGAAAAGAGAAAAGTAGATAGACCATGTAATATGAAAAGCGACGCGAAACGGATTGGCCGGATGGTCTCCATTTCGGCGTCATGTCGCGATGATCGACGACCTCGTGCGAGCTCATCTCGGACGCGTTCAGAGGCGAGACCGTCGAAAGAGCGGATCGCTTTCGAAGGGCGAGACCAGGGCGAGACCAGGGCGAGACCAGGGCGAGACGGATCGCGATGCACCGCCCTCGAGAATCGAGGTACTTCGTCAGGAGAATAAACGATGCGCTCTCCGAATTCTAAAATTATCTTTACTCGTAAGGTCCTCCGTGTATATGTGTATACCTCAGGAAGCTGCGAAAGATTTCGCGCTGATCTTTCGCGGAAAGGCACGACCGGAAGCTC